ACACTTGACCACTTTTGTACACACACGTTTTTATTCTTTGGTCACACTCCTGTCAATGGACTATTGAAAACCTTAAACAAAACCATAACCCAATTTTTTTCGCTGTAATTGGTAACAAGTATTATTACTTCATACCTCAATGCGATTTCGCTTGGCTGCATTCAAGGATGATACTTTTTGTTATAGAGCTGTGATTTTGATAATAGGCATTGTATTAGTTACTTTTGTAATGTAGTAATTCTTATATATTTTACCACTAATACATAGTTAAATATAAAGTCCATATCGAGTTCTTAGGTTTTCGCGATTGTTACACATAGGAAATGAAACTATTTTTCCGGATTTAAATCGCGTGTATTTGTTTTTTCAAACAAACCGACGTTTCGACATTTAATTTATAACTTTTGTAACTATAGTGAAAAAATAAGGTGGTTTGCATCAATATTAGACATAACTGGTTGAAGACTGTACCACCTCAGTCAACCGTGACCATGGGACCTGTAAAGGGCCCTGTAAAGGGAACGATTTAAGTCCATGTTAAAGAGTTTGTCCAGGGAAGTACTGCTATTTTACCTATTTCTGCCGCCAAGCATTGTGAACTGCGTTCCGGTTTTGAAGGGTAAGGGTGCTAGTATAATTACTGTCATGGGACTTGTCAATTTATGTCACCTTTAATGTATGTGATTTAAAGAACTGAGTGGCACTGTAACTGTTATGGACAGACGTGTTGATTATCACCAGGCGTAAGACCTGTTCGTCCCGTCGCATCAATGCCATAAAAAAATCTAAAGTCTAAAATCAGGTAGCAGTCTTCGAGTATGTATCAGGTATTACCTATTACTTGACACATTGGCATGTAAAATATCAGCACTATTACTGAATAACAATGACCACTGAACTGTTAAAAAGGTTAAAACAACCCTGAGGGACATCTAGACGCATCTAACAAAAAGATCAGATAGTATTCACACTGCGGCAGTGACTGGTTTGTTTTGCAAAAAAAAAGATGTTTGAAGCTAATATTTTATTTTTCGTTACTGTAACCCTGGCTACAGGACTTTTTGTTACCAAAGGTAAGATTTCTTTTTTTTCTTTTTTTTTTTACATTCTTTTACTATATATCTCGTCTAATTCCTTATTTTCAACCGATTTATAAAAAGGAGAAAGTCTCAATTCTACTGTATGTTTTTTTTTGTATGTATGTTACGTGATAACTCCATTTGAAAAGGGTACCTCAGCAGTGGTCCCATTTAAATTTGTAGAAAATATTCCATTTGTAAGGGTGGCAAATTAGGGGATGACTCCGGTTTCGCGCACTTTCCGGTAACCGATTTCAATAAAACTTGGCAAATAGATGTAATTCCAGGAACTTTAGGTCACGTGAAGTTGGTTTTTTAGTACTCTGAACTGAGATTATTTTTATCGTATAGATGGCATACACTATAATGTTTGCTAAGTGCGCCAGATTTACAGGGAAGTGCCTCAGTGGCAGACGGTGCCCATCCTGGTCTGCCACGCAGAGGCCCCGGGTTCGATTCCCGCGCCGGGAGAAATATTTGCATGGCCTACATTTATTTCTGTTGTGAGTTTGGGTGTAATTTGTGGTTGTCAATGTGTGTGTCCAAAGCATGGGTTTCCCTAAATAAAAGATGGTACGTCGTGCGGGGAGGTTACTTTCGTGCACACCAACTGATTCCAATTACTAAATCTAACTCATTGACTTACAAATAAATGGACGACGGGTCTAACACAAAAACCACGAAAAAAATGTCCCAAGTAAACCTATTTAAACGTAGTGACATGTAAAGGAATATGAAAAAGCTAAAACGTTGAATTTAAATTGTAATGTCATCGCAGTACTGTCTAATATTGCTTGCTTCGCTGTCAGTCGAAGAAACGAAGACTAAAGCGTGAATGACGCTCTGTATACGATTTTAACGCCCTATAAGTTCGGACACTTTTTAGCGCGGTCCCGACGTCCATATAATTGTAAGTCAATGATCTAACTAGTGTAATTTCTAATAACACTTAATGAACCATTATCAAATTTCATTTTGTTATTAATAAAAATGTATAAAAGTAATAACAGTTAAAGCTCATTGTCAAAGAGTTCGTCCAGGACACTGCAACCTTACCTATTTCTGCCACCAAGCAGTAATGTAAGAGTTACGGCGATTCCTGAGATGCTCTGTTATTTTCCAGGACGTCCGTCCGTATCACATCCGTTTGTTTTGATAAGAAAATTAACATAAAACAAAATCTTACAATTTTGACTTCTTAGACTTGTTCATCCAGTCATTTAAATTCCGTAAGAACTAAGGGCAGAGTTAGCTTAAATAATGATCATTGCTTAGAATAATAACGCATAGAATGATAGTTACATATCAAACGAACTGTCACAAGTGAGGCAAAAATCAAATTCATGTAGGCTAGTTTTAGTAGTAGGTTAATTTTCGGTTTTAGTGAATATTTATATAAAAATACAAGTTGAAACGCGTTACTTCCTTGTGGAATGTGATGTTAGTATCTATTTTATGTTTGTCTGACGCCTTTTTACACTCATTTACCGCACATTTCGTCATTTTTAGCTAAAACTCTGGAGGTGTTCGCGGTGCAAGTTGACCTTGAGCACTGACGGCCCGCCCGCTCGTGTAGGCCCTTTGGGAGCGCTTCAATTTGCCTCACTTAGCGTGTGCGGACTAGGTTTCTATGCGTTATTATCCTAAGGATTATTGATAGAAATGTTCTTTTCCTATTTTCATTGGTTCCCCGGAAACGTTTAGTTATTAAACTTTCTATTCCAAAGGCTAAAGTATACTTTGTTATTATTATTGGGAGAAAGATGAAAGAAACGAAGAAAAATATCATCATGGTGGTCAAATATAATAATAATCTCGGTGGTCAATCATCGTGACATTCAACAAACTTAAAAATTGCAATTATTAAGGCGACATTTCTAGTCAGCTACTGGTAGTTGTAAAGTTACCTGGCTGAGAGAAGAAATAAATTTCTCACAGATGGCGCTACGACAAAAAAAAATTGTTAAGAAACCAAAACCGTTCCTTCCGTAGCTTAGTTGGCACAGCGTCTGGCAGGGTTTGCTAGAAGACGTTGCTTGGTTCGAATCTTTGTATTAATAATTATATTAAAAGTTTTTTAAATTTTTTTTTGTTTTGTAATTTCCATAATTTTGAGTTACGACACTTTTTGGTTTAATGTGTCATATATATTATATAGATTTTACATAGATATATTATGACTGTTGAATAGGATTATAGAAATAGTGCCATTAGTTTTGAAGTTTAATGACAACGTTGCAGAAAAAAATAAACGGAGCAAAGACATTTTGTCGATCTTGGATGTACATTCCTTTGCCTTTTTTCGAATGAAAGACGAAGTTAATGGTTTGTGATGGTTTAAGTTATTTATTTCACAAAACAATACAAATTTGCTAGGTAACATAAAATTTCTACAGAGAGTACGTGTTGACATTGAAATATTCAAATGAACAAATAAAATTTGATAATAAAAACAAGTTTCTCTTATCAGTACGCTAATAAGATATTGTTGGCCCCAATCAAGTGTTGCAAATCAATTGCTATGGTGAAACTTTAATAGCAATTATATATAAAAATAAAAACATGAAAACTGTGATAAATTCTTCATTACGTGAAATTTCAATTTTTTCCGGTAATTTGTTGGATATTTGAGGTCCTTCGTATATTATATTTTTCTTACTTTAATTCGTCCGGTGCATTTGTAAATAGTATATCATACTAATTAATAATATTCAACCAACCAAAATATCTATCAACTATTCGATTGCAACAAGAAATATAGCAGATAGAAAAAAATATCTTGGAGCTAGTAGTGTTCATACATATATGGAAGAGCTCTGATTCTACTTAAGATACGATGAAATACGAGTAAGAAATCCATTGATGGTCACACCGGATCCTGCGAAGTATCTTCAGAACAATCCATATCAGATTTTTTTGCACTATATGTGACATTAGCAGTGTTCGGAATAGGTAGAGTTTTTTCGATGAACAGAGTCAAAAAGTGGAGACTCCCTTACGACAATATTTTTTAGGTCCTGGATTTTTTCGGGATTGGAAAAATCTCTTAAGTACGTTAATAATTGACGTTATGTCTGTTAATATTTGCGATGAGTTGTAGCAACACAATTACATAAATTTCTTCTAAGTGTACATTTTACAAAAGACTTATCTCCCGCCAAACTGGAAACAGTTCCTTAATACATTTAATTAGAGTTGTTAAGATATACAGACTGTTTTTAAATGGGACATTATGGGGAAATCCGAAACCATATCCAATTTTTTTTAAATTAAATCTGACCAACTTCTGCTATCTCATTTTTTTCGTCTCATACCGATTTCTTCATGAAACTGAGTCGATCAGCGCTAAAAAATTTTGATTAATTTTATTCATTTTTATGGACAACTCACGCTTGACCATAAAATTTACTATGCCAAAATTATTTTAAGAAAAAGATTTAATAGTTCCTAAGACAGTTTCCTTGTTTATTCTATGGTTCCGGAGTTCTCCACACTCTGTCATAAAAAAAAACACTGTATATTTCAAACATTCTGTTGATTTATGGAGATTCCTGCGGAATCCTAAAACTATCACATCAACTCATCGTGCTCCAGTACGTCTTAACTTTCTGACTCGATTTTCATATAATTTTCAGAAAGTCAAAATTTTCCTACATATTTGGAAAAATTGGTGTTGCAAGAAATCGTCGCAAAGTTAAGATAAATAGTCTACCTGCCTATCCCAAGGCAAAAGCTAATCTACTTAAGAGATTTCCCCAATCCCGGTAAGATCCAGAACCTAAAAAATATTGTCGTAAGGTAGTCTCCATTTTCTGTCTATGTTCCTAGAAGTTTAGGTAAAAAAACTCTACCTATTCCGATCACTGGACATTACTTATGATATTTATAATACGTAATAATATTCAGATGAATGCCCAGCTAACGAAGAATACCTCCTGTGTGGTTCTGCCTGCCCCTTCAACTGTACGAACCCTGTGGGTCCTGTAAACTGCACCGAAGACTGCACCGAGGGCTGCTTCTGCAAGTCAGGGTATTTAAGGAATGAGAACGGGACTTGTGTCACAGCTGATCAGTGCATTGGAGGTAAGTGATAATCCCGAGATACCATCTCTCTTTTACGACCATTTTACGACCCATAATAGTTGCAGTACTCGGAAAGACCCGAGGGGCATTGCCACTGAGACATAACGAAGACAAGGCCAGTGTGCTTTTACTTTCACCAGTACCTTTACCCTTCATAATCGATGCGTACTAATGCTCACATTACTGTTCGGCGGCAGAAGTCGGTGTAAAGATAGTACTTCCCTGGACGAATTCTTCCACAAGAAGTTCTACTGCTTCTAATCATAGATGGAGGACGACTTACAGGATGCCAGTTGTTTCTAGTTATCTCATTATTTTGAAAAGGCTCTTTAGTTACATTTTTCGCTTGATAAACAAGTGTACAGAACTTACATTTTGCACAAGTCAAAATATCAGTATCTTGTTTGTCCACGGTTTGCCGTAATTTTCGTGCTTTGTAAGCAGGTTAGTCACAGCTCTATAAAGCTCTGATCGAAATACCAGTGGGGCGTAGTTTTTTAATTTTGTCTCTTTTTGTTCATCACAACGGTATTGCCCAGCGTACTCAGTTTGCCATATTGCCAGTTCTTCTGGTGTAGCAGTAGAGCTCCTTCTGAAAGAGTTCATTTAGGGAAGTACTGCCACTTTACCTATCTCTGTCGCCAAGAAGTAAGCATTACTGCGTTCCGGTTTTGAAGGTTAATTAGTGTTGGTTGATTTACAGGCACATTAAACTTGTTAACTTATGTCTCAAATGCAGAAGTGCTCATCAGATCTGCAACTGTTATGGACAGGCGTGTCGCTGTCCCGTCACTTGGAATCATAAAAAAAGTAGTGTCCCCTTAGGTTTTTGCGGCTGTTACACCTAGGAAATGTAACATTTTTTTTGGATCCAAATTGAATGTATTTGTTTGTTGATGACTTTACCATCTCAGTCTGCCGTGACCATGGGACGGGTAAGCCCGAAAATTGGTTTGTTTGAAAAACAAATATACACGATTCAGATTCCAAAAAATAGTTTCATTACCTTTGAGTGTAACCTCTTCGCTGCCATTACACTATCTGAGTGGTAATTCTGCTCATGCGTAGTCTTTGTCTACTTTTGTGGTACTGTTAATTATCTAAAATTCACAATTCGTGTTTTGTGATATCAGATACAAATCCAGTTTGCGGAGTGAATGAGGAGTTTCTCTCTTGTGGCACAGCATGTGCCCCCACCTGTGCACAACCCGTGCCAGAAGAATGTGGTCTCGCCTGCAGTATGGGTTGCTTCTGTAAATCAGGCTTTGTTAGAGACTCGGCTAGTAAGCAGTGCGTTACTTTGGACAAATGCCCTATTGGTGAGTTGATTAACTTTGTTTAACCCGTTCATCGTCAGTACTTACCTCACTCCAAAATATCACTTCTTAGTGTTATAGTACTTATATTGACTCAGAATAATCATGGACCAAATAACCCGAGGGGATTCGCGGTGCAAGACAGCGTAGACGGGTATTTAGTACGTATTGGTACTCTCAATTAGACAGTATTTTTTTGTGTGTTATGTTATTCGTTTACTCCGGCATTTGTAAACTGATTTCGATGATTCTTTTTTTGTTGGCAAGAGGGTACCTCAGTATTAGTCTCGTTTAAATTTGAAGAAAATATTCCACCTCTAAGGGTGGCAAACTAGGTGATGAATCAAGTTTTGCGCTCTTTCTGGTAATAGTAATAGTAGATGTAATTCTAACAAAAGAAACCGATATGCAACCTTTTGAGGTCGCGTTTTTTAATAAAATAATTAAAAATTATGATCCTTATAATGAAACGGGATACCCAGTATTATCATGTTCTGATATTCCATTTTAGGTTACCTATCAGTAGCCCGAAATGACATTTGGCTTCCTTCCACAAATTGATATTCCAGACATAACGTTTGCCCGAATTTTCAAATCTTCGAAAGTAATTTTGAGAGAAAAATGTTTTTTCTTTTAAACTTAACCGAACCTAATCGTGTCCTTGCGATAAACATCCAACATATTCTGAAAGAACACTGTTTCGTTATAATTCGGTTTTCGGTGTAATGAAAATTCGAACAAACGTTATTTCGGCAAAAAAATTGAGTTCATGATAGGTTGAATAATAATTCATTTTACGCTAAACGTCGTTACTGTCCATGAACTGTGCCTCTCTCTACCATGAGATGACAGTGGCAATTATCGATAGCGACCGCGTAAAATGATCGTATACAAAATATAGTTTCATTTTGCGACCGCTAGGGGCGCTGTATAATTTGCCATACAAAATTGTGATGTAATTTACGCGGTCGCTAGCGACAACTATCATGGTAAACTCGTGGTAGAAGTGTAGTAGAGCCACTGGTCAATTTCTATGTACTAACCGACCAAAACAATTAGAAAACAAATGCCATACATACCATGTGTCTAATTATGTTAGAAGATATGCATCTGCTTTTTTTTACAACCATTAACAACTCAACTGCATTTTTTAGTGTATATTTATTGAAGAGCTCAGTGGCTTAAATGTGTTACACTGTACTGGATGAGGAGGTCTCGGGTTCAATTCATGGTAGAATCAAATTGGGAAATGAACTTTTCTAAATAGCTTCTGGTTTGGGTGTTCTAGGATAGTACAATGAATTTCCTAGTTTGGGACCAGGAATTTCTAACAAGGTTGTCTAGCACATTTTTATTACTGTTTATATAATGTGCTCAGTAATTCCCTGTGCTTGATCAAAGAAAATAGATTAATTATATTAAATACATTTGTAACAACCACAACTTTAACACGCCATTTTACTTTAACAATTAGTTCCATCGCGTCACCACTAGATGGCATTAGTTGTACTCTGAAACGCGCTAACAAGCACATACAAAAACTCGTAAGGTCCGCTAGTTCGTTCCGTGTCTTAGTTGGCATAGCGTCTGGCCCGGTGTGCTTTAGCAAACAACGTCTTTTAAGACGATCGAAGGATTTTTTTCCTAGTCATCTTTGTGTTAATAATTGAATGAATTTTATAAAACACTTTTATTTCCAGAACAATGTCTAAATCAGAACGAAGTATACGACATCTGTAATGCAGCATGCGAGCCAACTTGCGTAGATCCTCAGCCAATTTGCACTAAAATATGCTCCGGGGGGTGTGTTTGTGCACCGGGACTATTACGTGACGACAAAGGAGTCTGTGTCAGTGTCGGGAAATGTCCTAAGAGTAATTCTACTGATCCCGGGTTATTGGGAAAGTATTTAAATGTTATTAACAGGATTTTGCACTTGTCGTCTACTAATAATGAATAATGTTGAATAAATAAGTTATGGAAAACCATTTAAAATTTACAATATTTTACCGAAAGGTCTGAGACAAACCTTATCCTATTTAAGAAACAATTTATTGACTAATAAAAAGTATTAAACATGTATCCGAATTTTTAAATGATAAATCCCTAATTTTTGACATTCGTTTATTGACATATTACGATATTATTTTGATGTCTAGTTACCATTAAAATTGATTCATGTAACTATCACCGCGTTTAAATTACTGACCCACTCATTAAATCCATGTAATATTATAGTATAATATATATATTTGGATGGACACAGTAAAACTATAGTTATTTTGTACATGTCAACCTTAGAATAATAACGCATAGAAACCTAACCCGCACACGCTAAGTGAGGCAAATTGAAGCGCTCCCAAAGGGCCTACACGACCGTTCGGGCCTTCAGTGCTCAAGGTCAACTTGCACCGTGAACAGCTCCAGAATTTTAGCTAAAAATCACTAAAAACGAAAATTAACCTACTACTAAAACTAGCCTACATGAATTTGATTTTTGCCTAACTTGTGACAGTTCGTTTGATATGAAACTATCATTCTATGCGTTATTATTCTAAAATGTCAACTCTATACAACCTGTGTTTTCACATATATATTATATTAAATTAATTATAAGCTTTACACACCGAATGCGGCGCGGTTTTTATACAAATTCGACCGTACGTACGTATATTGAAGTCACTACATTTACATTTGGGGCTCCTTGGTCTATGTACGCCGAAGCATGATTAAGACAAATTATTGGTTTGTATGGCTCGTGGTGCACTCACGTCCAGTAACGCGGGTTGTCATACGCGTCGTTAATTATAGAATTAAAGCGGTCATTCGCTCATTTTTTTTTAATGGTGTAGTACTAAATCGAATTTAAAATTTTGCAATACATAATTATGAATTTCGTAACAAAATTCTAAAATTTTCTCTAACTAAAGATTTTTGAGCTTGAATTGTTAAGAGCTCTCATGCCAAAAACATTTTGACGTTGGCTCCGCCCCAATTTGTGAAACAAATATATGCATGAAGTTCGCGTGACATGCGACAGATGTTGAATTTTGCGCATTAAAAGTACCAAATTCGTTTTAACGGAATAACTCTAAAACTAAAGAGATTGAAAAAAAAAATCCGTAGTGACTGTTGTCGATCATGCATAAATATAATTAATTATCTAATTTTTGTCCTAATAACCTGTAGCATTTCGAGGATAAATTTTTGTTTTATGTTTCTGATTAATGTCTATGCTTGAATATATCGTGTAGTTACTCATACAATATTTTATTTTTAACTTTAAAGTCGATATACACCTCTAAAATCAAATCGAAGATTAGGAATTTTTCCTCTGCTCCTTCTTAAAGGTAAGGGCATGTCTTCAAGAGGGGCTAATTTTCGATTTTTTTTAACATTGTGCAGTAAGGAAAAATCAGTAAAACCTTACATGAGATTCCGTTAATTGGGCAACAAGATTCCTAACAGTTACTGACATACCTATTTGATTCACTGAATTCAGCGAAATCGAATACAGTACACCGATGTCAGAAATTATGCACCGAAGGCATAACAGCATTTACTTTTTATACAAAATCTTAAGAAAAACGCAAAAAATACAATCAATAATCTACATAAACTTCTATAATCTGACTAACTATTAAATCAAATCTTAAAATCCAGTAGGAATGCTTTTAAACGCAAGTTTAAGGCTCTCCTGCTGGAAAATCAAAAGGAATTCTGTTAACTTTTTCCAGCACCTATTTATTTATACTTTTTGTAGGTATATGTATTAAGTATTGTAATGTATTTTCATACTTATATATACATTATTTGGAAGTATATAAACATACACAACACACCCACACACATACATCTGTTACTGTTTAATATGTACATATATATAAATATTTTATTGATATGTTCAAGTACCTAAGTATGCTTGCATATGTTGTTCCGTGACCTCACTTAGGGTCTTAACTGAAAAACAGCGCTGGGAACGCGTTGCGTTTTCCAGCAAATACTGAGTTTGTAACCCTTTTGTTACCGCGGGCGACACCACACAAAGTATCTCAATATTTAGTGTTCTTTTTATTATTTGTGTGAATAGTTCCTGTTTTAATTTTATCAAACTTTTGTATATACATTTTTCTTTTGTGTTTTTGTTTCGTAATTATATATTTATGTTTTACGTTGAATGTTTTGTTTTAGATCCGATTTGTTCCGATTTCTCTTTTTTGTCTTTTGTCTTTTGTGGTGTTATTATGGTAAACAAGTAAATGTATTTTCTTTCTTTCTTCTTTCTTTCTAAAATACTCAAATTTATACGAAAAGCGATCAAAACAACGTAAACAAATTTCACATTATGGCTATTAATTCTCTATCAGTCTACAGTCTGACTGTTCAGCCCTTTTTAAGTGTGTTTTCTTATCTTTTTAAAAATCTAGAATGCAATCTGTAAGCTGCACGATTAATGTCTTTCATACCTTTTGTACCTGGCCAGGTAATTTATGCAACTTCATAATCTTTCCTTTAAACCTTGCATATAGAATTAGATCGCTTTTTATTTTTGCTTTTTTATCACGTTTTTGCATAATATTCTTGATTTTCAATGATTGTTTTAGGTCCTTACCTATAAAATTGCCATTTTATACCTATATAGAGAATAGAAAAAAAATTAACAACATATAGTTGATTAATCCAAGTATTGACCATTATTTCCGATGCACTATTGACATTTTGATGAATGTGCATTGACGATTCTGCTAAAGTATTTAAAGGCATTTTTCACCGCCTGTTTTTCAATTGTTTTCAAATGTCAATTTTTTCTTGTAAAAAGTTATCCAAATTCCGAAAAAAATATAAATCAGTCGGAGCAAGGCCTGGTGAGTATGGTAGACGACGGAGAGTTTCCAGTCGTACGTAGCTCATTGTAGTTTTGAGAAGGTCCGATGTGCAATATGTGAACGCAAATTGTCGTGAAGAGGGAGTCGACTAGAGCAATTGACAAGTCTCGGTTGTGTCACAGAAAGCTTGTCCATCATCACTTGCAATTCTTCAAAGTACACCTCAGTAATTGTTGTGCCAGGTCTCAAGAAGTTGTAGTGGAATATATCTTGAAAAAAGACGACAGATATCGGATTTATGTATGTTCCACAAGATTGCTAACAGTTTTGCAGATGCCACATTGTTGCAGATGATATATATGAAAGTGCCAACTCGTTCCTTACGTATACCCCAACTATTCTGTATTTCACATTCTATCAACAATGTCAGGAGTAATAGCTCGATATCCAGGATGTGTAGATATTACAATAATATCTGTTCTGATCATGATCTGTACAATGGTAGTTATAACAATTTTAGAAGACTCTTGCATTCGAATCCACCACCTTAATTTCTTTACGTAAGCTTTATGTTTTTTACATCTTTTATTCCCTTTTTTTGAAGCATATTTAAATAATTTCTTCTAGGTATTAAATGTCCACTGTTTAGAAGTGTTGTGTATAGCTATAATTGGATTGCAGGTTTATATTCACTCATGTAGAAATAGTTTTGTCGATATATATTTTGATCTGTTGCTTACCTTTTTTTTCCTTTATTTAAAGAGCTTTGTCATAATAAGCGACTACGCCTCTCTATAATTATATATTTATATTATAAAGTAAAGAGAGAATTGAAGCAGCTTATAATTGCCTTAAGTTCAAGCCTCTCTCCACCAATCTATATAGCATCTTGGCTTCCCTTGATAGTGGAAAGGCCAAGACGCTGTTGCATCCGTCAACTTATCAAAACTGGTCACACATAGCAGCTACATGAAATCTAAAAGAATCGTTTCGTCTACACTCCATCAGTATATGATATACGTCCTCCTTTACGTCACATACAGAACAGTTTGGTGATTTTGTTTTCTTCATCATATACGCAAACTTATTTAATGGAATGTATCCGGACCGAAGGCGTGATGCTAATACTAAATGTACACTTGAAAACGTCACATTAAGCTACTGCTCGTTCACTACGCTGACCTCCCTGTGAAGAACGAGCAAGAAACTCTAGGGATTGCTCTTTTGAAATAAACTTAAATGCTATGGAATACACTTTGAATCAAATTTGTGTGGATTCTGGAGCCGTGTCGTCTTTCCATACATCTTTATCTAACGCGTAGTCTTCAATTTTGTAATATGATTTTTGGATCAAAATATTTTTAATGTAGTTTTTAAACTTAGGAAATGATAAGCTTAATATATGCTCCGGAATCTTATTGTAAAAACGTATACAGTTCCC